CTGCCACATCCCAGTATCCTGTCCCCACCCCTGTCCCCATCCCTCGTGCTGCCCAAGCCAGGGGTGACACCAGATGCAGCCCTGGGAGCTGCCAGCGCCGCTGTGCCCACTCGGGGGCTGGCACCCCCCCCGGGGGGAGCATTTGCTGCCAGGGAGGGAGGTGGGCGACGCTGGGACAGGGCTTGGGATCCATCCAGGGCAGGCAGCAAAGCTCCTGTGGGGTTCAAAAAGTGCCAAGGTCCTATGGGGTTCCTGGCAGCCAGACCCAGCCTGGAGCTGGCGACTGCTCCGGGGGCAGTTCCGGGCCGGGGGCATCCCGTGGGAGATGGTTTGGGAGCCACTTTCCCTGGGAAGCCTTCAGAGTTCTCCTGGGGTTGCTTTGCTGCCCGAGTTCTTCAGCTAAATGTGGAGAGTTTGAATGATGGAAAGGGAAAGAAAATGAAAAGAAAGAGGGGGAGGGGGGGGGAAATGAAAATTAAAAGGAGATAAAAGGGAAAAGAGTGAAAAGGGGGGAAATGAGAAAAAATGGGAGCACATGTGGGTGCAGAAAAGTGGAGATTTCAAGGAAAACAGGAAAAAAATGGGAAAAGAGGAACAAAGGGGAATTAGAAAAAGAAAAGGGGATAAAAGGAAAAAAGTGAAAAGGGGGAAGAGGGAAAAGAAAAACAAGGGGGAAGAGAGGAAAGGAAAGGAAAGGAAAGGAAAGGAAAGGAAAGGAAAGGAAAGGAAAGGAAAGGAAAGGAAAGGAAAGGAAAGGAAAGGAAAGGAAAGGAAAGGAAAAGGGAGGGGGGCTCACTGGAGGCTTTGAGGGCTTTATAAGAAGAGCGATTGCATCAGGCCCCTTCCCAGATGGGGAAACTGAGGCACAACAAGGAGCTGCCTGTCCTGAAGCCCCCACTGCATCCTCACCTGGACACGGATGTGCCAGAGATGATGCCAGGGACAGGCAAGGAAATTCCAGGCCTGCTCTCCGTTCAGCCTCAACCTCCCAGCTCTCCGTTTGGGAGCCAAGGGGACAAACCCCAGGGCAGAGGTCCCCAGGCAGCCCAGTCCTGGGGTGCTGAGCCACCTCCCCCCTTGCCCTCTGGGCAGCTGCAGGGTCGGGACGTTCTCCTCGGTGTTCCAGCACTTCTGCCAGCTGCCCATTTTACATCATCCCCCCAAAATGCTGGGGAGCAGAAGGGTGAACTCCGACCAGCCCTTGATGATGCCTCCAATTAAAACCCCCCACCCTGAACGTGAGGAAAACCCGTGTGAGCAAAACCCAGCTGGCAAGGGGAGGATTAGACATGCCCCAAGAGGTGGGGGGTTAAAAATCTCTAATTCCATGGTTTTCTCACTCAAGCTTTGACCGTGCTCGCCCCTGCCCTGCTCGGGGGGTTGGCCCCCCACTTTCCAGCTCAGCTCCCCTGCCTGGAGCTTGTCTGGTGGCAGAGCTGTGCCCTCAAGCACCACACGCCTTCGGAGGGCATCGGGGAGAATCGCGGCGGTTCCTGGTGGTGTTTACAAGGCAAACAGCAGAAAGCCAAGGAAATGTCAGGGTGCAAAGGCAGGGTGACGTGGATGGGCTCTCCTGGGGCTGGCTGCAGCAGAAGGAGTGAATACAGGCTGGCACTCTGCCTGCCCAGGGCTGCTAATGCCCAGCACCCCATCCTCTGCCCTCTCCCCCCTCCCAAGGTGCGAGCGACACACCCCGACTGCTCCATCGTCCTCTACTTCCAAGAGCAAGAAGCTGAATGTCTGAAGATGATCAGGAGGGAAAGCCAAACGCCAGCCCCCCCCGGAGCCCCCGGGCAGCAGGGTGAGTGCCAGGCTGTGCCCCAGGCTCACCTCCCTCGGGAGGAGGAGGAGGAGGAGGATTTGCTAACCCTCCCAAGGTGCGAGCGACACACCCCGACTGCTCCATCGTCCTCTACTTCCAAGAGCAAGAAGCTGAATGTCTGAAGATGATCAGGAGGGAAAGCCAAACGCCAGCCCCCCCCGGAGCCCCCGGGCAGCAGGGTGAGTGCCAGGCTGTGCCCCAGGCTCACCTCCCTCGGGAGGAGGAGGAGGAGGAGGATTTGCTAAGGGGGTCGTTGGAGGATGATCCACCATAGGGGTTGCAGAGCACATGTGGGTGCAGAAAAGTGGAGATTTCAAGGAAAACAGAGAGCAGCTCTGAGGCAAAGGCTATGGAGCATCCCCCCCCAAAAAAAACAGGGAGAAAAGGAGGCTGAGGGGGTATGGGCAGGTTGAGGGATGCCAACAACCACGGGAGCTGAGTCCCCCAAGATTTAGGGTACGTGGCGATGAGGATGAGGTCCATGCCTCAAGCAGAACCTCCTGTGCTGGCTGTGGGCATGGGCAACACAGAGCCGTGGCCACCAGCCCCACGCTGCATGCCACCACTTCTTGCCTCCCTAATTCAGCTACTTTTGATGCCAAACACGTTTCAAGCAACTTAATTTTTACCTATCTGGGACTTTTAAACCAATTAACTAATAGAAAAATAGCTCGAAAGTGATGGTTTTGTAATATTAATTTTTTTTTTTAATTGCATTTCAATTTCCATCCAAAAGCAGCTTGGCTTGAATTCTGGGTAAAAATTATCACCTAGTGAATAAGAAATCTGTCACTCGGCTGGTTTCATCTAATAGAAATGTAAAAATGAAGCATCTCAATAAATGCATGTTAAGGTGAATAATTGCTTAAGTAACTGTGCAGAGATGTAACATATCCCCCAGCTTAGCAGAGAAAAGCCAAGTTGATTGGAAAAGGTCCATTTTACAGCCCTGCTCGTGCCAGCCAGAGGGAAGGGATCTCACTGGAGGAAAATAACCAAGACATGTGAATGCAGAATGAAAATCAGCACCAAATCCCTGCTTTGCTGCTTGTCTGCACCTCTGCTGCCCACCTGGGCTGCAGGGATCCCTTCGTCCTTTTGGGCCAGCATGGGGAGGGTCCTGCCATGAGCTGGAGATGGGGGGAGGCTCAGATGCCCTGCACGAGGTGGCAATATAGGGTGAAGGACCAGGACAGGGACCTCAGACTTCAGCATCCTGCTGGGGAAGCCACTGTGGGACCCTAAAACTGGTCGGAGATCGTGTTTGCAGTGCTGTCAGTTCCAACTTCAAAGCTTCAGAATGTTCTGGAGCTCCCAGAATTTACTGCTTTGCAAGAGCTGGGAAGAAATAATCTGCTGGTGAGGCTCAACTGGTCGTTTTTGGAGGTCCAAAATCCTCCAGATTTTGTGAGGTGACCAGATCCCAATTAGAGCAGCAAGAAATAGGGAGGCAGCCCTGGCAGGTCTGTCTATAAATAAATGCTCAAACTCCCCATCAAACTGTATTATTAGGGGAAAAAAAAAGCTCTTGCCAGCCATGCCATGGAGAACAAGAGAAAAATGTTGATCTTGGGCATGTTCCAGCCCTCCACTGGGCTACACCAGCTGGAACCTGGGCACAGCGTGAGGATGGGAGTGTCCCTGGGGACCAGCAACGTCCAGGCTGCTCCAGGTGGGCAAGGAGACACATTGCCAGTTCCTTTGCTTGTGTTTTTTTTCCTCTGTCCCCCATAAAGTGGCCTCCACCACCTCTTCTCCATGGAAGAGGTGTCACCATGTCCCCATGCTGTATCCCTCTGAGAAACGGGGTATTTTTAGACGCTGCAGCAGCCTGGGAAAGGGAAACAGGGTGGGAAGGGGGACTCCAACCTCCTCCCCATCCGAATGGAGGGCTGACTTCATTCCCTGGGATTGCTCTGCAGAGCTGTGTGAACCCCAGCTCCACCTCTGTGCCAAGAGCTGCTCCTCTGCCTCCCAAGCCAGCGGCCCCAGAGCCCTGGGATGCATCTCTGTGCAGCAGGGTGGCTCTGCCACGCACACACCCCCAGATCCTCCGCTCAGACCCCAAGAAGTGAAGCAAATGCTCTCAGCAACAGTCCCAAGAGCTCTGCTGGGTTTGTTGTCCTCCAGAGCAAAACCAAAGACGAGCCTTGGGGGGCTGGCAGCCCAGCAGAGCCCTCCAAGCGTGGCCAGATGCCTACAGACCGTGCTGCTGGAACCAGAGAAAACTCATTAGGCTCCTCCGAGTGCACGTTCCCTGCCTGGGAGCAGATGTGGCTCCAGGTTCACAATGTACATCTCCAAGGTTAATAACATACTCGTGCAAGGAGGAGAGCTGTCCTGGCTGTGCCATGGCTCTGTCTCATCCTGTCTGCAGCAGCAATTCCTGCAAGGCCCCACGCCTGCTTGGCCGTGCTCATTTCCAAGGCAATTGGAGACTCATTTCAATGTAAACTTTGTGCTAGAGAAAGAAGCAAGCCACGTTTAAGCCAGCTGCTCTCCAGCAAGTCTTGCAGTGCTTCCTCCTGTCCTTCAGCCTGGAGACACGGCCCGAGCTGGGCCACCACAGCTGCTGGGGGCAGAAATCCAGCCTAAACCTGCGTTATTTCAGATGCCACCAGGGATGTCCCAGCCTTTCCCACGCCCCCATTCCCCAGGTTCTCCCCACAGGAGCTCTAGGGCTGCTGTAGCCTCGGGAAACACCGGGTCCTGTCTTGCCAAGGGGCTAAAAGGAGATCTGGGTGCTGGGGGAGCTCGTTCCTAGAACTGGAGCCAGGATGCTCCTAATTCCAGAGGGGGAACGGCACGGCCCCGTGGATCGGGTGACGGCGGCTCTCCCGTTACAGCCACGCAGCCGTGGGCTGTGCCTGGGCACGGGGGGCTCGGGGGGGGTCGTGTGGCCCCGGCACGTCCCTTCCCAACTGTCCCACCCCTCCCCAGGCTGCCTGACAGAGTGGGATGGAGTGAGCTGCTGGTCGGCCGTGCCCGTCGGCCAGTCCCGAGCTGTTGCTTGCCCCAACATCCTCCACGTCTTCAAGAAGTCTAAAGGTGCGTGCTCTGAATCCAGCCCCGGGGACCGAGGGCTGAGCTGCACCCACCCCTGCCTGCCTGGGGTCGTGGTGCCAGCCCAGACCTTCCCCCCTCCCTGCTCCCACGGCTCCTGGCCCATCCGAATGCTTGGCAGAGGTTGCAGACCAAGAAGGGGATGGGCAAAAGCAGAGGGGCGGGGTGCTGACACTTCAGGAAAGACCCCAAACACCCTTTCCTCACCCAGTACCAAGCATCCTCTCCGAGAAGAGCTCTTGGAGGCTTCATCCTTCAACTGGGTGGCACCTGAGCTGTTCGGTGCCCTCCTTTCCCCATCCACACACCAGGCTGATGCTCCTGACCTGCTCAGCACCACTCCAAGCCACACAGATGGAAAACACAGCATAAGATTATGATGATTCCAAGGCTGGGTGTTCTCCCAGGGTGGGTGGTGCTGCAGGGGAGCTGTTGCCTCCATCCACCTTGGAGGAGTGTGAAGGGGAGCACTTGGGCAGCCCCCACGGCATCCGAGCACTTCCTCAACTGGGTGTAATGGAAAACGTGGTGGAGAGTTGGCAGCTTCTTGCCTTAGGGCAGAAACAGCTCAGGTGAAGCCCTCAAAGTATTAAAGAGCCTCTTTTTTAGCCTTAATTCCCTCTAACCAGGGGGACTCGTGCTTGCTTCCACACCCTGCCCCAAGACATCCTGGCAGGTCCAGGCACAGCACTAGAGGGCAGAGGTGTGAGCTGGGTGGGTGGGAGGGGGCAGTGAGGGCATCTGGGTACCAAGCTGCTGTCACAGCCAGGATGCCAGTGCTGGGATCTAGGCACTGTCCTGGAGAGCAGGGTGCTATCCCCAGGCTGCACACCCCGGGGGTGCTGGTGCAGAGCTGGTGTCCCTGGCCCCCCTGAGGTCCCTTCCTGTGGCTGCAGTGCTGATCCGGAGGAACTGCACCGAGCTGGGCTGGAGCTTCCCCAGCCCCCCCTACTACAACGCCTGCGAGCTGGAGGACGTTGGCAGCCACAATGACACCGAGGCCAAGGCAAGTGGCACCCCCGGGGGCCGTGGGGCACCCCCCTGAGCATCACCCTACCCTGTGCTGGCTCATGCAGCTGGGCCATGAAACATGAAGATGCTCTCGGGGATATCTCACTGGCCTTGGCTGGGCAGGAGCTGGGGCATCGCCCCGTCACCTCCCTGCCCATTGCTGACCAGCCCTCCCAGTCCATGCAGCCTCACTCTGCTGGTGCTTTCCCTTCCAGAAAGGCTATTTTGTCACCATGAAGGTGCTTTACACCTGCGGCTACTCCACGTCCCTGGTAGCCTTGTTCTTGGCCATCGGCATCTTCTCCTGCTTCAGGTAGGGCTCAGAGCTGGCTGCTCCGTGGGCTGCAGCTGGAGGACAGCAGGGTAAGCCAGAAGCAGGGTGAACCCCCTCCCAGAGTGCCCAGGCTCCATCCCTGCCAACACAAGGACAACACTGAGGTGCTGGAGTGTGTGGTGAAGGGTCCAGAGCCCAAGTGTGGGGAGGAGCAGCTGAGGGAGCTGGGGGTGGTGAGCCTGGAGCAAAGGAGGCTCAGGGGAGACCTTCTGGCTCTGCACAGCTCCTGACAGGAGCCTGGAGCCAGGGGGGGGTCGGGCTCTGCTCCCAAGGGACAAGGGACAGGACAAGAGGAAACGG